AGTGGCTTCTGCAATAAGAAGGCCTCCTTTGGTTGTTCTTTGTGAATAATATAAGATAGCATGTGGTTGAGGGACATTGCCCCATGATCTTTGCCTTGYTAGAGGTGCCAAAACAACTCTGTACACATTAAGCAAATTAGTAAAACCTTATGAATTCAGCACATAAATTCAATAAATTAACCAAATGGGGTTTTCCATAGGTATTTCAAAAGCATCAAGATCTTTTCACATGGGAGAGGGTACTGGTTCATTCCAAATTATTAATGGAAAATAAAGAGCAATTATCTGAAATCAAGCAAGTTAAATCCTACTTGCAAGAAAGGGAAAGAATTAGGTTTGCAAGATAACCCAAATGTGGTGAAAATGAACAGAATCTTTTTTTCCAAACAGGCCCGTTCTGACATTTTTTAGGCCCTGGGCGAACGTAAGAATAGGCCCCCTGCAAGAAACAAGGTTTTTAGCAACGACTTTTGTCGTCGTTAAATGTCCATTTATCATCAGAAATAGTACACCAACAACATGTTGACGCTATAACTTGTGGCGGAAACATGTTATCGCTAAAAGACACATCGTCGAAACTCACTTTTCTTGTAGTAACATTCGGTAAGTACGAAAATAAATTCAATAAATGTTTTTTATTAGTATAAAATTGAGTACAAGAAATGTTAATAATTTACTGAGAAAAGAAATCTTATTTATCTTTATTATATATATATATATATATATAAGAGTACTTAAATTTACGTACTTCTTATTAGGTAATTTAAAACCAATAGTATAGAAACTATGGTTGATAAATTTTTATAAAAAATAAGAATTTTTTTAGTTCATAACAAGAAATATGTGTTATTTTGATATAAAAAGATAATTCGTGTGAATGAAGTAATCATTAGAGTCAATGAGAGATCAATAATAAAGAAGATTATCAAGGTTTTCTTGACAAGTTGACAAATGAGGATAAAAAAAAATATAAAAGAAAAAAATGATCCATTGAGATCCAATAATAAATAATGAAATTAACATATAATATACAAGCTCAACAAATGATTGTTTGAGCACTTAAATAGAATCTTATGGTGTGGTGGAATCCCAATGAAAGATACATAAGTCAAACAATCGATGAAAATATTTAAATTATATTTTCCTTCTTTTTTTGCTCAACTAAAATAAGATATTAAGATTTTTTTTTGATTAACCTGAATATCCAACCCGTTATGCGAGCCGACTAATCACAAGACGACCTGCTTTGCAGATAGCCTGGAGTCACCGTATTTGAACCTCCGT